TTTTTTTTAGGAGTCAGCGGAACAAAAGATCTTCAACTAAATAATCCGGTGGCATGAAGTGATCAATATGGATTTAATTTTGAAAGCGATCACAGGAAGTGTAATTTTCACCATGAGTAATTTTACGTGGTAATCGGCGGTTCTTGGGGGCGAGGCTTCGGGGTTTCGTGTACGTAGACAAGTTTGAGGTCTTCCCAGTCCGTCAGCCTGCGGTGGCTATACGACGCAAACAGAAAGAAAGACCATAAAAACAAACTACAAGTGAATAAGAGACTTTTTAAGTACCAGAAGAAACTCGAGAGAAGAAAGCAAGATGGTGGCCAAACAGAGGATCCGTATGGCGAACGAGAAACACAGCAAGAACATCACTCAGAGAGGAAACGTGGCCAAGACAACGGTGAGTTTAACAACAGCTGCTTCTCAAATGACTAAAAAACAATATCAGAGACACAAGTCAGGCTTCTGCTAATAATCCCCTGTAAACCGAAGGTCCAGTCCAGTCCAGAGACTCGGTCTGCTGAAATAAGGAAGAGCTCTTTAATAAGATCTGCTTTTAAATGTCCCAATAAAGTCGGATAGATTGGCTGTTTGATTGGTTTTCATCTGGATTAATTAGTACAGCGTCACCATTTAGATCAATGCAGAGCTGAAATTAGCCTAATTATTTTCAGTAGTGATTAGCATGTTAATGACTTCATAATTCATTAATAAATTATACATTCAAATATTGTAGATTGAAATATTACATTATGAGAAGATTGTTAAAAATGTCAGCCCAAAAATATTTTCTTTACTATAATTTAAATATGCAAAGTTGAATTTTCTGTCCATCAAAAAATGATTTTTTTTTTTAAATTTATCTGCAGGAGATGAGTTGACCTGAATGTACGAAGTCAGGAAGTCTCAGGAAAAGCAGAACAAACAGCCTGCGCTGTTCGTTTATCTGGATATATTTGTGATCTATTTAAATATGAAATGAGTTCTGCACATAAAGTGAAATAAAGCCAAACAAACACAATAGTACAGACCAGCCATCAAAACAGACACAGGTGAAACCCTGTGTTCCAACAGCACCTGTAATGCTTTATCAGCAAGTCTGAACAGCTGTGGTCTGTACTGTGATGACTGTGTGTGGATGCTGTGTGTGTGTCTCCAGAGGAGTCTGGTCGAGGACAAAGGCGTGGGTCCCTGGCTGCTTGCTCTCTTCATCTTCGTCGTCTGTGGATCAGGTGACCTCCTTTGACATTCACAAGAAACCACTTCCTGTTTGCTGCCGGATGTTTGGGCTCTTCCCAATAACATTAAAGAAATTATACTGAAGTCTCACATAGATAAAAACCTGTTTTTTATTCAGTTGATCATCTCTAGGTGCTGTAAAATAAAAGCCTTAAAATTAGTTGTTTTTGTAATAGTTAGCATTTTTATAGGTTTATGTGTCTCAGTATTTCACATTTTTATACTTCCCCACTCGTGACAAAACATTTTACTGCAAGTACAAGAATTTAAAAAAACTGTTTAATTATGAAGATCAATAACCAAATTAAAGTCAAAATATGAGGAGAAAAACTGTACAACTCTAGACAATAGTAAATGTACTGATGTATAAATGAGACAGAAAAGTAGAAATGATGTGATTCAATCTGATACTTCTACAGATCACACGTCACCTCGCTAGACTGAAGCCCCGCCCCCAGTGATGTTAGTAGACAATGGGCGGGGGCAGCCACACAGTCTAAATGTCAGTCTGCTCTCTGCTTGTCACTTTGCCCTCGGGCAGAAAGAAATCCATAAAATTCCTGGTAGCACAGGTGTGTACGTTTGATAAACTGCAGTTTTACCAGGCAGATGTGACAGAGACCAGTTAGTGAACAGAGGTCTCACTCTCTGAAAGAGCTAGAAGTCAAACAGACAAATATCAAAGTCCACCAGTCAGCGCTGAGATGTCTACTAACGCGTTTACACTCTGCTGCCACTTTGTACTGTAGGTTTTCAGTTTAGTAACACCTAATTACTCAGTAAAGATGAACCATGATGGGAAACCATACTGATATTTCTTAGCATGCTGTATTAAAATAAGGTTTGTTGATTTTTCCAAGTGGTTTTAAAGTGACAACGCAGCACCACACAGAGAATAACAATTACATTTCATGTGACAGCAGATGAAGATGGAGGTCCCACACAGTTGTATCTGTGAGGAAAAATCTCTGCAGTGCCACCAAACGTTTGGGAAATATGCTAGCTGAACCGGAGTTTTTTAAAACTTAGCAGTAATTATACTTCATTATTAAAACAGCAGTAGAAAGTCAGGTAATAAAAATAAAAAAACCTTATTCATATAGCACTTTTCATGCAGAAATAAGTGATGCAATAAAAACATGTTTTGTCTGTACAGTAATTACTTAACAATGCCAAGATAAGTTGTGGACATACAGGTGGTGCTGGATGATATTTTCAGGTGTTTAGCAGAGATTCTCCTTTTTCAGGGCTTTGATGGCTCTTTAGATAAATTATACATTCTGTAGAGGAGGAAAATGTTGTCTTGTTTCTTTTGTTGCCACCTTCCTGACACTCGCTTTTCCTTATTTTTGTTTTCCAGCTATTTTCCAGATCATCCAGAGCATCAGGATGGGCATGTAGAGTGATGTCATCATAAGGGGCGGAGCTACAACAGCAGCTGAAGAGGACAATGACAAAGGACCTGCTAATGTGAAAATCATCCTCAGACTGTTGAGTTCCTGCCCTGAACTGAACCAACCAAATCATTCCTGAACTCTGACCAAGCCCTGCCCACTAGACAACCAGCTTCTGCCCACCTATCCAATCAAAACCAGCCCCTAAAACCCAGAATATTTGTTGTTATCTGTGTTGACTCAATGTGCTGCTGTCCCCTGACCTTCTCACAGTGACTGTCTGCCTTTAAACAACCCATACGTGCCTCCCTGTCGACCTGTGCTTTAGCTCCACCCCCTCTGAGTACACATTATCAGTACATGGGGGTGGGGGTCACAGTCCAGCCTGCTCCTGTAAACTGTAGTAGTGTTTAGTCCAGACCAAAATTAATAAATCTTTTTGCATTTGTTCCCAGAATGATTTTGTAATTGTTCAGAACATGTGGAGTCACATTCCAGCTGTGAGTCTGTCATAGTCCTCCTCAGTGGAAATGAGAAAAATGAAATGAAGGCCTTTTGAATCAGAAGGTTGGGGGGTGCTGACAGGTGTGTCTGCACTGTGTGCAGCTGCACCTGAACATTCACATAATAAAGTTTGATTTTGAAGAATGAACATTAACAGTCAATGATCCAGGGGTGTGTGTGTGTGTGTGTGTGTGTGTGTGTGTGTGTGTCCCGTGTGAACAGCTCAGGTGGTCAACTAGATCAAGATCAAAGATTTTTCTTGTCAGTTCACTATATGTGCAGGACATACAGAAAATCGAAATACCATTTCTCTCTCACCTAGTTTTGAATGCCATACCATTTAGGAAACTAACATAGAATAAAAATAGACTAAAAAGAATAAGAAAACTAAGTCAAAATGATTAGGGTAAAACTAAATGTTACAACCTAATAGACTATGACTCAAACCCTGTACAATCAGAGACAGTAGTGCAAAAAATAACAAGAAGATTGTCAGATGGTTGTGAGACTGACATGCACATGGACAGTAGCGCAAATGACTAACAGCAGCAGATATGGTGGTAAAAACAGTCAGCAGTGGATTTACATGTAATATAAAATGAAGGGGGAATGTACTGGGTTTGTGCAAAACAGCAGAGGTAGTCTTTATGTTCTGTTCCATGCTGGTGGTGGGTGGGGTCCTTGAGGATGGAGGCAGCTTTCCTACACACCTTGCTGTGGTAAATGCTCTGCAGAGAGGGCAGTGGAGTCCTGGTGATCTTCTCCACAGTCTTTACCACTCTCTGCAGGCGCTTGCGGTCCATAGCAGT